GCCTCATTGCTGGAGGGAGTTCATTGACAGGAAGAAACAGTGGCCAAACTCCAAACTGCGATGAACGAAATATTGCCACACCATCAGTGTTAAGCTTAACAGAGATGTTGTATGGTTCTGAGAGGAAGCCACCTGGCTTAACCTCCTTTTGGTAGAGTGCACCATCACACACATCTTCAATGTTACTGTCATCCCTCTTCATTCTTTGAAATCAGTATTTTAAGCCACTTACAAATTCAGCGGTCTGCAAAGAAAAGAAAAAAACATGGATGTTATTCCTTTATTGCATAATTTGTTACTTTCTTCATGCCATCTTGATCCTTTGATGATTTCCTAAGAGTTTTGTCACATTTAGAGAGAGATTCCGTGTTTTCATTACTATTAATGACTGATGGTAATAGGACTGTGTGAAGTACAATTCAGGGAGTAGTCAAGCAAGTAATTTTAAATCAGCCGAGTGTGATGATGTGCAGCCGACTTGAAATTATGAGAAGGATTATCCCTGACTTGTATGATACAAAGTCCTATTACCGGTATCAGTTAATCATATCAGTAACAAAATAAAGGCTACGAAGTCAGAAAACTTTCTTGCATGATAGTTGGTGTATTGTACAAACAGGAGAAAGAACAACAACTGTCAAACAAAGATGTCAATTTGAAGGTGATAAGGCAAAATTTCTTTGAAAAATGGCCGTGCCTTACAACCGAAAAAATACGGTATGTCAAAAGTAAGGAACTATTAATGTGATGAAAAAAATGTTTGGAAATGGGGGAGAGACAACTTCTAAGGCATGACGTGTAGGACATGAGACCCAAAAGGTTCAGTGGAATGAAGAAGACTAAGAAAGAAAGACATTATGCTGATAATTTTATTTAATAAAAAGCTAAGTCACTTACCTGGATTTGGAAGCCACAGGAAAATTTTCTTTTTCCTTGATCCTCCAAATAATTCCATCAGCTTCACACCATCTTGGAGGCCAGTAATAACCTTTGAAATGGTATGCCTTCTAAAGTATGATGCAAATAACTCTAACCTAGTCATAACCAATCATAACAATTCATTATATTGTAATTTTGAATAGTAGTCCCTCACTTTACTGGAAATTTTCTTAAACATGGCACTTGCAGAAATTACGCATAGGTGGCATTTGTCAGAGAAAGGTAAAGACACTAGAACATACTGTAATCATAGGGGCCAATATTCTTTCACCCTTTAACTCCCAGATCAAATTTACAATTCTCCTCACTGTCAATCATACAATTCTTACAATATTAGTTCAGAGAACTTGGTATTGGATCAATTAATTATCCCCAAATTGATATTTTTCTATATTCATATCTCTTTTCTGGTTGATATTGTATTGATATTGTAAGGAGAAATTCTGTCTTGGTCATTTATGGGAGTTAAAGGGTTAAAGAGTAGTGTAAAATTTACAATTTATCTGGAAGGGTAAGATTACCTACTGCATATAGATTGATAGCTTCTTTCCTCCTCTCTTCTCGTCTTATTTTCTTTTATATTCAGGGCCTGCTGTCATTGATTACGCTGTTGCGGTGTCCCTGCCATTTTTTGTCGTTTTTTGTCAGTTTATTTTATTTTTTTCTTTAATTTTTATAATTTAGATTGTTGTTGTATGGCGAAGTTAATGAATTAATAAATAAATATGTGGATAATTTTGTTTTTTTCCTCCTGGAAAAAGTTTGGTTTTCACCCTTCCAACATCTTTATCAAAGGTTATGAACAGTATTAAAAAGCAATTTAAGAATGACTGGTTACTTCCATTGATTATGCAAGCATTGAAATAGCTGAGTAAGCGCGTTTACCATTTAGTAGAATACATCCGGCGTTCTAAGTTATCAGAGAAGGAAAATTAGTGCATTAGCGAAAATAGCATACAAACTATTCGAGCTATCCCTTTAAAGTGGGGGCTTTAAAGGTCTACATTTCGCGGAGCCTAATAAGGATGATTTTGGGTATTCAATTTACTTCTAAACTTTTGATCATTAAGCGGAAAGGGAGTGTAACGTTGTGGCTTTGTACAGCAACAAACGGGTAAACATAAACAAACGATACTTTTTAATCCTTAAGTCGGTTCACTGAAGACTCGAGTACAAGATCGCGAGCACATGTAAAATCTGGCATCCTATTGGATAACAACTATCACGTGACGTTACAGGGAGCTTTCCTTTTAAACGCCTGAACGGTTGACAAGATTAGTTTATTTGACGTTCGTTTTTTATTAGGAACGTGGTCTAGACATAATGACCTCAAAAATAGTTTCAGCCATTTGTGCGTTACCGCTCTTAACTAGAGCTTTTGAGCAAAGTGTTAGGGAACCTTTTCTTTTTGGACCTTGTCTCCAAATTTCGCGAAATTACACCGGAAGTCAGCCAAAAATGAAGTCTTTAAAGTTTAAAACTCAAGCCAAAAGTGATTATGCGAGAAAAAGCGACTTGAAGTGTCATCAATCCCGCACGTGCCTTCTACTGTCAAATTATTTACTGCTGTGTCAACCGAAGTAAATGAGGCACCAAAATATAACTTTCAGAGGTTAACAGATTTTTAGTTTTGTTTGTTTGTTTGTTTGTTTTTTTTTTTCAGTAACCAAACATGAAATTTGCGAGAGATTGAAAACAAAAAGATTTCCCTCTGTGATACCTTATCAGATTTATAAAGTAGGTCAAAATAACGTTTTGGGACTAGATTTGTTGTGGTGTTCACCACCGCGTCAATTCACTGCGATACATTGCGAAAGCGTACAAGACTATGGGAGGCCGTCATCACTAAAAATACAAGGATGTCAAATAGATCAGCAAATACAAAGCTGGTCTAAGGATCGGCTGCAAAAGCATAGCTAATAAAGGAATGGCAGGTACTCTGGTTATGGTCAGATTTTGGCGGATGGCCAAATCATAGACGGTTTAGTTTTCCTTCATGAAACAGAACACCCTAAACATGAATACTTTCGCCAAATGATAAACGGTCTTGTTGGCTATATCGAGTTGGAACATGAAATTGTGAAATGGACTAGCTCAATTGCAAATAGCTTAGCACTAATTTGCATTTACGGTGTAGCGTTGCGTCAAATGGCTCAGCTTAATGTCGAATGGTACAGCGTACACACAAACGGTGTAGTGTTATGTCGAATAGCTTTGCAGAGCATCACACACTCTAGCTCAACGTCAAATTGCTTAGCAGTCCATGAAATATTTCGATGTTGTGGCAAATCGTCGAGCTTGCTCGTGGCGTGACGCAAAGGCTATCTCGCCGAAACCACCAAAAGTACCAACCGCAAATGAAACAGCGATCTACTGGAGGCATGACGTCATCAACATGGTGTGGTCGCTGTGCTCAACAGGCTTCACTTCGCCTTGCCGTAAAGCAGAGCCAATACGTAACTTTTCGGTAAGTTTTTCCTCTTTTTTCCCTGCTGATATCCACATTTATTCGTTATCGTTCATGAAAGCGTTGATTGAAATAGCAACAAGACTGAATTCTACCACGGTTTTCCGGCCTCCCGGTTTACCGCAGTTTGCACGCGTCTGTTAGCCTGAATGTTTATAGTATTAAGTAGTATTATGACGTGCATTAAATGTCGCTTGTCGAGCTCTCTGCTCTTTTCTGACTCGCGCTCACTTTTCAATGAGAGTTTAACTCCAACGACTCTTTCAACATTACAGGAGTACGTGAGAAGTTGGATTTTGTGTGTGCCTTAGTGCGCAGAGTTGGACGCCATGGTAAGAAAACTGACATCCTTGACCTGTTTTGACATTTTTCAATCGAGTGATATTGAAGAAATGTAAAATGGTTTCCGTGTTTACATAGCCTGATGTAAACACGCGGGAGGTTGGGAGAACACGAGATAAGCGTTTATCGAGTGTTCTCCCAACCTCCCAAGTGTTTACATCAGGCTATGTAAACACGGAAACCATTTTACATTTCTTTTATAAAATAACTGATAAAAGAGGAACGAAAACCGTGTTTACATACGCTCATGTAAAATGGTTTTTATGGCCAATCAGAGCACGCGTACTATTTGAATTATTTTATAACGAAATACATTAATTGGTGTGCCAAAAATAGTGTTTGCAGTTAAAGCATCTAGATATCACTTTGATTGAAAAATGTCAAAACAGATCAAGAATGTCACGAATTGCCTCTGCTTTACGGCAATGCGAAGTAAAGACTCTTCAACACAGCGACCACACCACGAGATAGCCTTCACATCACGAGCAAGCTCGACGATTCGCCACAACATCGAAATATTTCATGTAATGCTAAGCAATTTAATGTTGGGCTAGAGCGTCTGATGTTCTGCAAAGCTATTCGACGTAACGCTACACCGTTTTTGTGTACGCTTTACCATTCGACATTACGCTGAGCCATTTCACGCAACGCTACACTGTTTGTATGTACGCTGTACCATTCTACATTACGCTGAGCCACTTCACGCAACGCTACACCGTTTGTGCGTACGCTGTGCTATTCGACATTATCCTGAGCCATTTCAAGCAACGCTACACCTTTTGGTATGTGCGCTGTGCTATTCGACATTGCGCTAAGGCATTTCACGCAACGCTACACCGTATGTGTGTACACTGTACCATTCGACATTACGTTGAGCCATTTTACGCAAGCTACACCGTTTGTGCACTGTATTGTAAATGAGTGCTAAGCTATTCGCAATTGAGCTAGTCCATTTCACAATTTCATGTTCCAACTCGACATAGGCAACTAGGCCGTTTATCATTTGGCTAAACTATTCATGTTTAGGGTGTTCTGTTTCACGAAGGAAAACTAAACCGTCTACAATTTGGCCATGCCATTCCTCTATAAGCTATGCTATCCTGCAGCCGATCCTTAGACCAGCTTTGTATTTGCTGATCTATTTGACATCCTTGTATTTTTGGTGGTGACGGCCGCCTATAATTTCTCAGTCGGCAGTCTACATTTTGTATTCGGTCTGCAGTCTGCATTTTTTACTAGAAGGTATCCGTGGCACCAATACAGTTTATTTTTGGTTACAGTTATTCGCACAAAAGACTCAATCTACCACAAAATACCTGTGTGTGAGTTAATTCGACATTTTCGTTCTTTTCCGCGTTAATACTCTTCTTTACTTTTGTAAAAATGTAGATACATTTACAATGTTTCAAGTAATCCACCCACCCCAAAATAATAACTTTTGCATGCATAGTAAGCCTATGTTTGTTTATTGTGAGACGTAAAGAAAATAAATAAAACTTGACTGTTTTCTCGAAGATTGTTAATCTGCAATTAGCTTTTTCTTATCTGATTGTGGCGTAAAAGATCTCCCGTCACGTGTTTAGAATTAATAGTATTGAATGCGCGGCGACAGTAGCAGCTGGGTACCATCGTAAAGGTGTTTCACTCAAATAAACAACTTTCCAGCAGACATAATTGAATCCATTTAATATCAAAAAGACCGTTGAAACTACATCAGTGTGGTAACTCAAGCATTTTTCACCATAAAGTAGCGAAGAACTTGATAAGTTGAGATCACACAATAAAACATAAAAAAGCCAACTACAAATTTCCTTCTCTAACTTTTTTTTTTTGAAACCTTTAAGGGTTTCATACACATGGAAAACCTCAATACGAAAAAAATCTACGTATATCAACGGACCAAGGTTCCTTCTTCTTTGCCAGCCTAATTCAGTAGTGCCAGACCCAAGGCAGAGGTAACGGTCATCAGGATTACACTGGCAGAATATGAAGACCCCACGTTACAGTAGTCGGAGTCACAGCAGCCGACTGCGCATTTCCCGTCTTTGACCTGGTCACAATTCTTTTTCAGTTTTTCACAGGTGCTGCTATCGCCACAAGAGTTTGTCACTATGGTTACGTCGTCTTTTTTGCCCCAGAGCCTTATGCATTCACCGCCTGGGCAGTCTTCCGACATGCTGGCTTTATTTGCTTCCAGTTTACTCTTGCTACATTTTTCTTCGTTTCCCACACAAGAGTAGCACTTGAGGCTGTAAGCTGAAATAAAGGAAATTAAGAAACTAAAATTTCAATGTTGTCGGGAACGGGTATCCGACAAATAAGTCACAGGTTTAAATCTCAAACTGGTTTACTGTTGTTATCCCCGATTACAGATATCTTCGGTTCCGGCTATCTCGCTCTCTCTCAAAACACACACCCCTTAAAAGCCGATCTTATTACACTGTTTCGCAATCAAGTCTAATGTTCAAAGAAGATTGTCTTTCACTTAATATTAATAATAGTAATGCTTTCTGGTCACGTTATGTCATGCTATGTCACGCTCGCCAATTTTTTCCATACATATTTCGAAGTTTTTTCACACTCCATATATCGAAGCTTATCAAATTCATTTTAGTCTGCCAAGGAATTAAGTTCAACAGTATTGGAAATTAAACATGTGCCGAACTGAATTCGCGCTCAGATATATGCCGTATTCCGTGCTTTTAAGTGCATGCATGACTGAGTCCGTTAGCGTCCATTGTGTATTTATAAAAACACTTGCGCAATTTATGCAATAGAATCGGAATAAGACACATTTTTCTCATCTCTTCCTTAAGAGTGGTGGAATACAATAGCAGCTACATAGATAACCCCGATTAATTCATGATATTACTAGTTGTACAGGTGTTCCCTTACCAGAGCCTTCATTATTGTGAAAGTGAAAGTACACTAAGGACTTGTAATATTCAAGCGACGAAGTATTCTTTTTGTTGAAAGGAGAATCGATTTGAGCAAAGTTGTTTTTATGTCGCGATTTCCTCGTGCTCGAACCGAAGAGGATTCAGAAGTATTGATGGATGCGTTTTTGGTGTGGTAAAGGTTCTGCACGAACTTTATGCCTCCTATGACGAGAGGAAGCAAACCGGAGAAAACAGGCAAATGTTCTTTCTCAAACGAAATAACACGGGATAAATCATACTTGGAAAGTTTCTTTTATTTGTTTCCCATTCTGCACGAACAAGGAAAATTTTAACGAAGGCTTTGAAACGTGATTTGACCAAACAGAACAAATCTAGGCTACAATAGAGAAAGGATTTCCTGGGCTTAGCAGGATTTCCACAAAGATTCCGTGTCACTCAATAAGAGCTGGCAGTATTATCAGAGATTAGACTAAGGTTGAAGCAAAACCAATAACACGAGAAACGAAATTGGAATAAACTCCACACATTAACATCACAAGCAGACGGAGAGGTTGGCATTCAGCTTAATGTTACACACAAACAACGCACACAGCTCAATCAAAGAGTTAACTTGTGCCTTAGCAAAGGGAAAGAAGGATGAGCCCGAGTGGACGTCACGGAAGGCCAGTGGCTCGAGGGAACAAAATTATTTCAGTTCAGTTTCGACGTGGCCAACATAAACGAACTCATAGCTTGTAAGGAGCTTGAAAGCGAAAGAAGGGTATGTCGACAGGAGAGATTGCTCGGACGGAACAGGTGGCGTTACTGTTCTCTTATTTCACGGTTGAACTTCACAATAACAAACAGAATAAACTTACCAGTTGCAAGAACTGCACAGAAGACAAAGATGCTCAGCACAAGACCCTTCATTCTTCGTATCTCAGTGACTTTACGAACGTTGCAGCTTCCTCTAACAAAATCAGCGCCCTTCACAAACACGCTGTGTAATAGGGCGTTTTTATAACAGGGCACTACCAATAAGATTACTAGTTTAAAATAGAGCGCCAATCAGGACACTCCATATTATGCGCCTTGTCGCCTTGTCGGCATTAAAAGGGATGACGACCCTGCAAAGCACTCGCAAGAATGTGGTAAAGAAACCCCGCATTGTTTGAAGACGGAAAATCTGCAGTGCCTTTCAATAAAAGAACAAGCAACCTGGCACGTCAGTTGCCATGGAGAATATAGTATCTCAAGTTACTAATCTTACTTCATCGTGTTTTCGTTTATCTTTTAGGATTACCTATTCCAGGCCCATTGGGTAGCTAATGTCATCGTCAAATTTGCCATTCGATTGATGGGATTTCTATGTCTCATGAGCTCAAAAAAAAATTGATTGTTGCCTAATACCGTGCAGATGGAATGAAGTGAAAGTGAAGTTGACAAAGACAGTTTTTCAATGAAAGACCTAGTAACTGGAAAAAATGCTAAGGAGAACATATTGCCTCGAGTTATTCAACTCACCGCCGGCAACACTTATCATCACAGAAAAGACACAGGACAAAGGAATGTTAAAATCCCTGTTGATTGGTGTATTGTCTATGCCTTCTTTCTGTATTTCTTTATTCGGTCACTAAAAAAATGCAGACTAATAAGAACGATTGTGGCTGCTTTTTTAAAAGGCGAATTCAATGGCCGCTTTTTAAGAGACAAAATCAGCAAAAAGGCGAGCATAATCACCAGCACTACACGTATGAGTGCACCTTCAGGACCTTTAGCCTCCACAGTCCAATGCATTCTCACGTGAATCACTTGTGTACGCTCAAACTGGTCACGAGGATAGGAATAAAAGTTCAACAACATATCTATCTTTATGACGGCTCTGAGTATGAAGGAGAAATGTCACTACCACACACGATTTTAGACCTCTGATGCCTTCCGTTTGCGATTAGTGTTCGAGCTAAAATACCCCTACAGTCCAACGGCAGAATAATCACTCTACACAGCTGTTGTTCAGGTTTTCCAATCTTTACCTTACTCCTGCAACATAGGCGTCCATTCTTCCCCTTAAATTGCTTTATTACTCAATCCAGTCACGGTGATAAAATCTGAGAGTTAGAAATTGTCGAAATTATTTGCAAACACTATTTTTGGCACACCAATTAAAGAATTCCGATGTCACTTTGATTGAACAATGTCAAAACACGTCAAGGATGTCATGAATTGCCTCTGCTCTACGGCAAGGCGAGAGACTCTTCAACACAGCGACCACACCATGTGGTGGTTTCGCGCCAATCTTCACATTCGATGACGTCATGCCTCGAGTAGATCGCTGTTCCATTTGCGGTTTGTATTTTTGGTGGTTTCGACGAGATAGCCTGCCTTGTTATTACAAACAGTCGCCCTTTTAGTTTAAACACTCTGACGAGGCCACTACTAAACAGTGCCTATTGTTACGTCCTTTTCCTTATTAAAAAAAAAAAAAAAAAAAACAAGATTAACAAAAAAAAAACAAAACAAACAACGTAAGTGAGTTCAACTGTTCAAAGTTTGTGGAACGTAGAAAGCTTACATTCCAGTAACATAATTCCTTAAATAAGTTGGCTTCTTAACAACTCTGACTGATCGCGTCGTTGGGCCTCGCACAGGTAACCCACTAGGCTGAGCAAGTGGCTTCGGTTGCCGAGATGCCATCGCATGCCCATTGGTCGTATCCACTCGACCACTGGGTACGGTTGTCCGCTTACACGGCGCGGAGAGCTCATGACCTGTCTGTGCTTGTTCAGGTAAGGATGTCGACTGTTGATCCGATTGCTCAACGCCTTCTTCAGCCACCAAAGCAGGTCTTGAATTCCGGCAGGCCTCCTTTGTTTTCCTCAGGTGACGGCGATTTCGACGATATCTGGCTCCATCTTCGGTAGCAACCTCGAAGGACCGAGTTCCAACACACCTTTCAACCTTTGCTTTCACCGCTTCTTTACTCGGATATCCAGGCGGCACGAGTCACAATGTGTCTCCACTTCTAAGTGCTCCCACATCCTTAGCCCCCCTATTGTAAGCAAGGACTTGTCGTTCTTTCTTGGCGAGAAGTTTCTGATAGATCTTGTAAAAAAGAAACATGATTTAAATGAGGCCAAATTAACTTTTATACTACAGTATTTTTTGGCGAATTTATCTGTGGAATTTTAATAATGTACTTATTCAATTATTTTTCACAGTTGATCAAACTTTTGATAAAGTTCAACAGAGACCACGCAGTTTATCTGACGTTTAAATTAATTTCTTTCAAAAACCTTGGACCACCTCCCAAGAAAAGCGCTCGCACATTTTGGCTGAAGCAGAGAAATCACGACGCAAGCGGGCTGAAAAAAAATTGGTGAACATGCTAGCTTATCAATCTTTTGAAGCCGATTCCAGTCTGAGTCGAGTCTGTTAACTGGTGAGAAAGGCAAAGGGACAGATGGTGATGAAAGTTCATCTGTGACGAGCAGTACCCCTGAAGGTTAGTTTTTCCTACTACCAAAACTAAATAATTACCGGCTGTTAATCTCTATTGGTCTATATTTACAGAACTTGCCCGTATTTAATAATAATAATAATAATTTAACTCTTATATTGCGTGCTTTCCACGAAATGATCAAGCGCGCATTACATGATTTCTATCTATAGCAATTTAATACAGGGTATCTAAGTGATAATTACTTAAAATATACTATGATAAAATTAAAATATACAACATATGTTAAGATACTAGTAATTATCGTGAAAAAAATTAATAAAAAGCTTCCCTAATTTAATACAGGGTATCTAACTAACAATTATTTAAAATATACTATGATAAAATTAAAATATACAATAGATGTTAAGATACTAGTAATTTTGGTGATAAAAATTAATAAAAAGCTTCCTTAGAAAGGTGTGTTTTCAAATGGCACTTACTCCTTCTTGTTAAGCTCTGTAGTTAAGTTCTACATGTAGAACTCTGACACTATTGCTCTCTAGAACCTAAACTTTTTTTCATCCAAACAATAACCACAATTATCATAATATAGCAGAAATGTATGATAGAATAACAAAATCCACCCTAAAAAACAATTTAAAAAGCAATTAGGTTACAGGTTCAACAGGTAAAAGCCTTGGACAATGATCACTCCCAAAACACAAAAAAAAATCGAATAAGTCTTGGGTTGAACTACTAGGTAAAACTGAAAATAAATCAGTCCCCTTCCCTACCTGTGTAGGAAAAAAAATGCAAACAATAAATCTCCTTAGTACTTAATGTACATTGTACAGTATACAACGCATGTTAGGTAAATGTAAAAATCATTGTTATACAGGTCATACTAATGGTTACCAGTCCTTTCATACCCAGTGTATGTTCATTTCATACCGACTTGTTTCATACCCAGCTAGGCTGATTGGTTCCCAGCCAATTAAGTTGTTTTGTACCCAAACTAATTGTCAGAATATGCTTTACCTGTTAAGTATATTTAAAGTAAGGTCAGTTTGCATAAATAAGTTTTTTTACGTGACATCCATTTTTAAACGTGACCTCCAAAGGGAGAAAAACAAATACACAATTTATTGGTTTCTGCTTAGAAGGTCAAAAGTATACAACAGAATTTTGTCTATCCCTAACTCCCTTGACTCTACTGAATTGTCGTACGCAATCAACATCTGCTCACATACTTGTGTGTGAGGTATTTTGAATGAATGCATGTTGGGACTGGTATGAATCGACCTGTGGTTTGGGTACAAAACGACTCAAATTTGGTACAAATTGTCTGAATTTGGGTATGAAACAATTTGATACCATACTAAAATGCACATTAACATCTCTTAATCATTGAGCACTGTTTTTTAGGACTTATGACAGATTTTTTCAAACCATTACAAAAAGACCGGCCCCTACGCGACCAACCTAACTGAGCAAAATATGATAAGAAAAATAAAGGACTGAACAGCTTCTTGACTAACTTATACTTGACATATTTTAGTGTCTCACAAAAAGGGATCCCACAATATGGCAAAAAGAAATAATAAAAATTACATAGGTTTACATAACATTATTACCCTAAAATCTGTTTTATATAGAGTTGGAATGACTTTGAAGGTGCTCTCAAGGGATCCTATTCAGAATACCTACAGCATGAAGGAATTGCCTTTATTGCCACATTTAGTTTTGAAAAGGTGCAAATGTGCATGCCCTTCAAAAAATGATTGTTTCCCAGCATCCATACACTCTACTGCAGTCAGTGCACCTAGGACCACATCACAATGCCCCAAGGTGTTAAGTTAAGGACCCAAGAGCTTGACTTGTGACTGTTGTTATGACTACATTTTTTTAGCTACAGATAACTACACTCTAATCACATGTTACCATTGCATATTAATTAACTTATTCTTGATAGTATATCAACTACAGAAATGATGACCATGATGACAATTAAAACATTTCATTTACAGGTACAATAATCCTATAACCACTACCATGAGCAGCATTGCAGAAGGAAAAATTGTTATGATGATGTGTGCATGTAATTAATGTTGACTATATGCTAAAAAAAAAACCAACAAGATTTATGGACCAATAGAGGAATAAAAACACATTTTATTTTCTTTTCAAGGAAAATACCAAACTTTTAAAAGTTCCACAGTACAGTGTAATTGTTACAATTGCTCTTTACGAGATTTGAACTTTGCCCTGCCAGAATGCTGTTTAACTTCACAAAGTACATGTGATGCCTCTTTTTAAAAAAAGCTCAAAGAGGAGTATGCCAACAGCACAACCAAAAGATCTGACACTTAACTAAAACTTTAACCTTTAGATGCTCCATCTGATGAAGAACTCAGTTTCTGTTGATGCTGATGGTAAAAGAACAAGGTAAATATAGTTAATAGTTAGTTTTACTGGTACCTTAAATTAGTTTAGGTTTGGGTCACCAAACTTTTGCATGATTATGACCCCTCCCAACCCCCCCCCAAAAAAAGAAATTTTGGCCATTAGGCCAACAAAGGTGTCAAAGTCAGCAAGCACATCATGTGAACTAGAAATTGTAAAATCTGATTTGATGAAAATCACACAAACTGTTTCATCTTCCTCAGCTGGTTTGCTGGATATATGACAGAAGAGGCCTATAAGAAACTGCAGAGTGAAAAGAGGGGAGCCTTCTAATGGTTCGATTCAAATGTTACAGTCAATCAGGCTTTTTGCTGACCAAAAAGTCCTGTTATGGTGTGAGTATTGTTGACTTTCCAATCGGGGCAAGTAACATTAAAAATGTTAGGCTTTCTTCATGCTGAAAACATGACTTCAGTAAATTCTTTTGAAAATCTTCACTTCTCCTAATTTTTAGCACTACATTTTGAGCTCTGGATGAGGTCAGAGTGCTGTGTACTAAAATGATTATCTGACAAGATTACAGGGAAACCTGGTTTCATGGTGAGGGTAAACTGTATACAAGAGGGAACATTCCCTACAGGGAGAGTAAATGATCCAAGCTTATTGGTGTTGAAGAAAATGTGAACACATAGCATGAAGGCCATTTCTAATCAATTTCAGGCATTGAAATTGTCAGGCTGAAGAAATTAAATGTATATGTAATTTGTTACTCTGTTTTTCTATTTCATTG